AGAAAAGGGGCGAGGCCTCCCCGAGGGCACCGGGCAGCTGCCCGCCCCAGGAAACCCGGCAGCCCAGATGCCCGCGGCGGCGCACTCGGGCAGGTTCCACCCTGCCCTGGCCAACAAAGGCCTCCTTTGAGCTGACAAAGTCGCTGGCCGGAAGAGGGGCGCGGCCGCGGGGAGGTGTTGAGTTACAGGGAACAGAGACCTTCCCGTGGACGTGGGCCTGGAGGGGGAGGGTGGCGGTCCAGGCCTGGGTGTGGGGGCGCTGCCCGCCAGTCCCTGGAAGGGGGCTCTGCTCAGGCCACGACGGGGCCCCCAGCGCGCCGGCCCTTCCCCGTGTATAATTAATCTCCGCAGCTTCTGCCTCGCACCGCAGGCTGCCCAGGTTGCTTTTAAATAGCAGACCGCTGAGAAATTGATTTGTTCGCTCCCGGGGCCTAAAGAAACGGCGTGATGAAATATGTATAAATGTCATCGCACGGCCGCGGCTCGGGATAAGCACAGAGACGCTGCCACGGGGGCCCCCGCCGGTCCCCGCCGGTCCCCGCCGCACGCACGTGTCGGCCCGCACGAGCCCCCGCGAATTACGCAGCGTTTTCCTTTGAAAACCTCCCATTTGTCCTTAACTGGTACAAGTCGAGGGGAATTATCTTAATTGCTACGTGGAAAGAGCGAATTGCTAATGGCTTCGGTTAACCAGGAAGACTTTATTTTTAACAGCATGGGGCCAGGTGGGAGTTGCCAAGTTTGCCAAAAATAAACGAATCCGTCACACAAACAAAGCTACTGTGTTCAGCTGCGGAGCTGGGCCCCCCCCCCCCCCGGAGATGCGGGGGGCCCCCCCGGGAGGAGGCCCGGGACCAGGCGACAGGAGCGAGAGCGTGGGAAACCTCACTCCAGAAACGCGTGGAACCAGGACCCGGGCCACGAGCGAGAGAGAGAGCCTGGCAGGGGTGGGACCAGGTGGCCTATTCGGTTTGTTTTGTTTCGTGTGTGTTTGGGGGCCACGCCCAGCGGTGCTCAGGGATCCCCGGCCGTTTGGGAACAGGACTTCCCAGAGCAGCGAGGGGCCTCTCGCGTGTCCAGGGGAGTCGTGGCCCAGGTCAGAGAGATGCCGGCCACGGCTGAGCCCACAGCGGTGCCCTGCCACCGAGGCCCAGAGCGCCACGACCAAAGCAGGTCTTTCAAGGCAACGCCGCTGGCCTCTGGGGCAGCACGCGGCAGAGACGCTTAAAGACGGCCCGTTTATTCCCTGGGCTGCGAGACCGGGAGCCATGGCACAGCACGGAGGGAGGCCCTGCCCCGAAGCAGCCGACCCGGGTTCAATCCCCGAACCCCGTATGGTCCCTCGAGCACCGACAAGAGTGACTCCTGAGTGCAGAGCCAGGAGAAACCCCAGAGCATCACTAAATGTGGCCCAAAAACTTGGGGTGGGGGGGAGAGGGAGAGAGGGAGGAAGGAAGAGTGGGATGGAGGGAGGGAGGGAGGGAGGGAGGGACAGAGAGCTCTACAGGCAAACACCCACCACCCACCGGAAGACTCACAGACCCACCTCCCCACAGACCCACCTCCCCGACCTGGAGGGGAGACAATTCCATTCATCCCCCTCCCAGCCACGGCCTCCCACCAGGCTCCCTGTGCAGGTGTGAGGTGGCCGGCCTGGCCTCCTGTTCCCCTGCTGGTCCGGAGGGAAGTGACACATGGGGCTGGGCAGCCCACGGGAGGCCACCCCCGGACACGCAGGGCAGGGCCAGTCTCTCCGCCATCTTCCCCGTCTGTCCAAAACCAGGCACGACCCTCCCGCCACGAGACAGAACAAGAAGGAAGGACAGAGCCCTGCTTGACCTGGGGACAGTCCATCCCCGGGGAGTGAACCCCAAGCAGTGACACTTTCCCACTTCGGCCACTGCCCTGAGGCCCGGCAGCTGCACAGGGCCGGGTTCTGGGACAGCCCAGGACCCCGGGGGCCCGGCATGAGTGGCCGCCCAGGGCCTGGGGCTGTGTTGGAGGGGGCACACGGAGAGGACAGGCCCGGGACAGCCCGGCTGGCATCCGGGGAGGGAAGAGCAGAGACGCCCAGGGTCCAGGGTCCAGGGGTCGGGAGAGAAACCCCAAGCCCAGCAGAGGAGCCGAGTGACCACGACGCTGGGGGGGGCTCAGGCCGGCTCCTCCAGGCTGCTGCCCCCGCCAATGGTGTGACCTTCACCTGTGAGACACCCCCGGGCCAACCCCCAGGGCCCCTCGGAGGGTTCCCGGTGCCAGGGGTCGGGAACAGCAGACTCGCTCCCGGGGGGCCACACGACCCCTCCACAGCGCTGCTGACAGCTGCGTCCCTACAAACCCCCGCGACCAGGGCCTGAAGGAGCCCAGACAGACGCCCCCCTGTGCAGGGCCCAAGCAGCACGGGAAGCGACCCCCAGCATAGCACTGGCTGGGACCACCCATGAGCGAAGCCCGGAACACACGCACGCATGCCAGAGCACACGATGGGGGGGATTGTCAGAGCCTCAGACCAGGGGCACAAGAAATGAACTGTCACCAGAAAACACGCGCGATGCCACCAACACCAGCACTGGATGCTGATCTCAGATGCTTGGGCCTGAAGGGAGGGAGGGAGGGAGGAGAGAGAGAGAGAGAGAGAGAGAGAGAGAGAGAGAGAGAGAGAGAGAGAGGAGAAGAGGAGAGAGACAGAGAGAGAGAGAGAGGAGGGAGAGAGGCAGAGAGGGAGGAGGGAGAAGAGGGAGGAGGGAAAGGAGGACGAGAAGACGGGAGAGGAGAGACAGAGAGGGAGAGAGACGCAGGGTGTAGGCTGGCCGGAGGTCGCCCTCGCAGCGTGTTCCGAGTGGACCATGCAGGGCTGGCCCTGGCCCCTGCTCTCGGCACCCCCCGCCCCTGCTCAGTTGGCCCCAGACTAGGAGACACGCCACGTTCTTGGCCCCAGAGCAGCTCTGGAGGCTGCGCTCAGGCTTCCGCTCCCTGCTGGGCACCGCCCACGCCAGGTGGACTTCCTCCACAGCTGGACTCAGGCCTGGGCGCCAGAACCCGCCCTCTCTCTCCCTCCCTTCCCCCCTCCCCCACCACCGACAGCTCCCACAGCCGCAGCCAACAGCTCCCCGCCCCACCCTTGGCCCACCAGCCCACACGGATGGCAGACACGGGGACGCCACGCAATGGGCGGGAGGCCACGGCAGCGTGTGACAAGCAGCCAACGAGCCCGCCTATCTGCAGGACACAGAAGCAACACGAGGACTAAGGGGTGACTAAGCCGCCCGGGTCCTGGTGAGAGAGTGATGGGACAGGGACCAGGGGACGGGCGGACGCGACGAGCATGTGGCTGAGGACTCCTGAGCACCGCAGACCCAACAGCAGTATGACCATGTCACCTGCACCTGGACTGAACAGTCAAAGTGTCCTGCCAAGGCTCCAAGCAACGTGGGTCCCTGAGGCCCTGGACCCGGATTCTCTCAGCAGGACAGGCTGAACGAGGGCCCCACACCGCGCAGGCTGTGGGGACAGATAGAGCCGCCCGTGTCCCCGGCCAAGGTGGCCTCATCCTCCCTGAGGACGCTCCAAGATGCCACATGGGTGTCCCGGACCCTCCCGGGCAGCAGGCCAGACCAGGACGACACGGCCCGACCGTCCTAGGTGCCAGTCGGGGTGCAGAGCGGGGGGAAACGGGCCGAGACAGCGAAACCTCCCCCGGGCCAGTGCTCACAAAGGAGTGTTTCACCCTACTTTATTATTATTATTTTTTTGGTGGTCACACCCAGTGATGCTCAGGGGTTACTCCTGGCTCTGCACTCAGGAATTACTCCTGGCGGTGCTCGGGGGACTCTATGGGATGCCAGGAATCGAACCCAGGTTGGCCACGTGCAAGGCAAACGTCCAACCTATCACTCCAGCCCCAGACCCTACATTTCTAGTGACCCTGACTGCACACTGCCTGGCCCAGCCCAGCCCACATTCTGGAGGTCAGTCAGCGGCCAACAGAGACGGCAGCCCAGAGGCAGGCTCGCAGGGGCTCAGAATAGCCGCGATGACGGACCGAGGAAACGGGGTCAGAGTGTGCCCGGGGGGCCCAGGCCCGTGTCCGGCAGGCACACTGGACAGCAAACCCTAAGCACGAAGCCAGGAGTACGTAGGTCCGAGCACAGCCAATAGGGCCCCCACATCAAAATAAGCAAATATGACACTGTTAATTTCAATAAAACCTTAAAAAAAAGGAGGGGCTGGAGCAGATAATACATTTGCCTTGCAAGCAGCTGACCCGGGTTCGATCTCCAACATCCCATAGGGTGCCCCCAAGCACTGCCAGGAATAATTCCCGAGTGCAGTCCAGGAGTAACCTGTGAGCATGGCTGGGTATGACCCAAAAATTTTAAAAAAATCAAAAAAACAAAAGCATCAAGAAAAACATAAAAAAAAAAGATTAAAAAAAATCATTTCTGACCAGCTGCCACTGTCCATCATTGGGGAAGGTCCAGGTTCTACAAAAATGGCCCGGGACAGGCCAGAGTTGGCACAGGAGCCCTGACCCCGGGGGGAGGGGGGCGGGCAGAGGACACCACCCCGGGCGCACGCCTGTACCCCTGCCCCCACGGCTCCCCGCCCGGAGCCGCCCAGCCCCCGCGCTGACACGAGCCTTGCAGCCATCTGTCATCGTGCTCACGCCGCAGGGGGAGGGGGGGAGGCAGGAGGCGGCCGCCCGCCCCGATTCATTTTTATTCCTCGTAATTAATACGGCGAGAAACCCTGACATCACTTCCATCCTGCCCGAGTTTCCTAGGAGTCGGATTCCGCTGACTTATCTCCACGCCCAACGCGGCACAGCCCTCCGTCCCCCGGAACGGGATGGCCCTGGAGTTAATCACACGTATTTTTTGCTCTTGATAAATGGAAATACCAGATGCAATTAATTGGAAGACAATCAATAGGCCCCGGCGACGAGACGGGCCCAGGGATCACCCAGAGCCCTCGTCCCCCTGAGAGCGCGTGTTCAGACTCACCGAGAGGACGCGCCGCGAGCCTTCAGTTCCCACGCTGGGCCGGCCGTGTCCTCTTTGAGGGGCTCCAACTTCATTGGCTCAAGGCCTCTGACGCGCCCAAGACCTGGAGGAGGCAGAGAGGGTCCGTGAGGTGGCCGTCGGCACCCGGCCCTCCCTCCGCAAACTGCCCTCCTCCCGCGCTGCCTTCGACGCTGGGCTCCCGGCTTATTAAACGGTTTCGTTAAACACACACACCGGATCCAATTAAACCGCAGAGCGCCGGAACAAACGGACCCTTCCCCCGACCAGCACCCGGAGCCAAGTGGCCAGACCCTGCAGGGGTGGGGGTGGGGGTGAGGGCGGGGGTGGGCGCGTGGCCACCGTGGAGACGCCACGGACTTTCCTTCCAGCGCCAGGTTCCAGCAGAGGGACAAACGATCGATACACCCGGGGACAGCGAGGACGGACGGACGGAGGGGGCTACGGGATCGTGAAGGGCCGCGCACAGGGGCTTCCGAGTGCCATTAACATAACTGCTGACCCCGGCCACCGGCTCCCGGCGACAGCTGCCCATTCACGGGAAGCGTCTGCCCTGGCCAATGAAATTGATTCCTCCGTTAAGAACGCAATCCCGATGCTCGAGAAAACCGCACTTCCTCGGTGCGCCACGGAGGAGGAGGTGGCCACGCACTTAAGGGCACTGGCGACCGCCTCACTCTCGGGGGGCCAGCGGGGAGGACACCCACGGTGACCTCCATGCCGGCGGAACCACTTCTGGCACCGGAAGTCGGTCCTGCCACCCCCAGGGGGCTCCCCGGAGCAGGCGAGGCCCCGCGGCCAGCCAAGGCCAGCAAGGCTCCCGGCTGTGGCTTTCCCACGGAGGGCAGGTGGTGACGCAGCTCTGGGCCGGGACGAGCCGACCTCCAGTGTGTGTGTGTGTTGGGGGGAGGGACGGACGGACGGACGGACGGACGGGGGCGGGCCTCCTGCAGAGGCCTTTCCGCTTCAGCGAGCCCTGCTCCTGGGATGACGGTCACTAAAGCAGCATGAAATGACCGTCACCGCGTCTCAGCTGCCCTCGCCTCGCCTCGCCAGCCTTCAGGCCCGGGATGGGCAGGGCGGTCACGCAATTTTTCTCCTCTGAAAGCAACAGCATGGGACGCCCCCCACCCCTCTCCTGGGGGTCCCGGGGAGGGGAAGTCAGAGAGTGGGACAAGCGGCCGCCCGGATGGTCCAGCCCGAATGTCATCTGCAAGGAGGTGACGCCCAGTTGAAGACTGGCACAGATCAGCCACGGCCAGGGAACCAGGCACTTGGGCCTCCGAGAGGCCACCGAGACCAAGCACCCCTGGGCAGAAATGAATCCACAGGGCGGGAGCCTGAGAGACAGCTCAGCCGGGAGGGCGCTGGCCCAGGTTCAAGACCCAGCACTCACTATGTGCCCGCTATGGCCCCGCAAGCCCAGCCAGGAGTGACCCAAGCGCAGAGCCAGAAGCCAGCCCTGAGCACTGCTAGGTACGGCCCTCCGCTCACAGGGCCAGCCGCGAGCTAAGCACTGCTGGGTGGGCCCCTCCACCCCCAGATAACCCCAACCCTCTGTACCCGACTTTCCAGCGCCAGCAAGGTGGGGGGAAGAAGAGACCCAGGCCCCCAGGACCCCCAGGCCTGCAATCCCGTAACCCGCCCAGCTGGGCACGTCACAGCCAAGATGCGATCTGAGATGGGAAATTCGCCGCTCGAACTTTTACACACCCTTCGAAACCTGTCCCCTCCAGCACCTCCTCAGACGGCTGGACGTGCCATCTGCACCTCCTGGCCTCAAAACTGGGAGGGTCAGACACCTGGAGGGCGAATGCCTCAATCTTACCGACCACAGTCCAGACTGTGCCCGCTGCCAAAAGCAGGAGAGAATTAGGTCTGCAGGGGACCCAGTGCAGTGGCACTTGCCTTGCATGCAATGACCCCGGTTCAATCCCCGGCACCACCTACAGTTCCCCAAGCACTGCCAGGAGTGATCTTCAAGGGCCATCAGGTGCGGCCCAAAACCTTAACATAACTCAGTAGCTGCACAACAGAATTGAGATCCCATGTCTCGAACGGCTGGGTCTGGGCAATCTTCTTGTTTTCATGACTCTGCAGGCAGGTAAATGCTTGTGGGAATTAGACATATATGCACATGCATGCATGCATGCACACAGACACATGCACACAAACAGGCAGACACATGCACGCACATGTGTACACACACGCACTCATGTAAGCTCCCCCCAAAAGAAAACTGCACTCGCATTTTCATTTGCATAGTATTTCTTTTAGAAAGGAACAGGGAGGGGAAAACTGTTTGCTAAGTAAAACTTTATGATCCCAAAAAGGATTTCGCTTTTTATTTATTTGGCAGGGGGTGGGGGAAGAGCGTCCAGCGGTGCCCATGCAGGACGGGGCCCTTCCCCCAACACTCTCCGGACCCCACGTCTGTTCTGAGGGAGGGTCTGACCACAGAGAAATGCCCCCCCGCCGCCTGGCCTCAGGCAGGATGTGGGGCTTGTCTGACCCGAACTCTGGCCTCAAGGAAGCCGAGTGGCCGCCCTGGCCCGGCCAGCTTCCCGGTCAGATCGCACAAGGACCGAACAACGAAAGTCAAGAGCAAGGCTGTGGGCAGGGGGTGTACCGGGCACCAGCAGTGACCACAGGGGGCAACGTAGGCACCGAGTCGAAGCCCAGTGGGCCCAAGGCTGCTCTGTAGGATGCCGGACCCTCGGGCCGCGCCAGCCGGCACCTCCCAGACCAAACTGAGTCAGCATCACCGGTGCTTGGCCCACAGGTGCTGGTCCGGAGGGCGTCTACACACAGGCATCCACACACGCGCACACATGTACGCGTACACAACCATGTGAGCACACCCATACGTAACCACATGCACACACCAAAACAAGCCCACACACAAACACACGCACCCCCCCCACGTGCACGTGTGCTCACACCATGTGTACACACCCACAGGGATGCAGAGGCCTACACACGTGCAAGACAGAAACAGCAGCCCCCAGACTCTGCAGGGGTCTGCCCAAGGCCCGCAGAACTGGCTCTAGAACTTTCTCCACACCATCTGGCTTCGGCGCGCAGACCCTACCAGGGTCCCTCTACTGAGCGTTCAGGCTCTGTGAGCACTGAGCAGAGATCCCAAAAGCCACATTCTGGATTCGTGGGAGTCTGTCCACTCCGCAGAGCGGGGGAGCTGAGCTTCCGCTTCCAGAAGCATCCAGCAGCCACCATAGACAGATAGACGGCATTGGGTGGAAGGAAGCCTTCAAGCCACCCCAATCCTTCGGGGAACCATGACTCTCACCGCCCGGGGCAGACGGGGCAGCGGGGGCCAGCACCGCCTCCTGGTATCCTGGTCACCGCACACGCTGACCTGCACTGACCGGCATGAATTATTTCTCCGGTGTCCAGGGCCCGTGTGTGCCGGCTCCTGTTACCGTGCAGAGCCCGCCTGAGCCCGGCCCGTCTCCACCCCTCCCTCCTGCCCCAACGCACCCAACAGTGGCTCAGGCCGGCCGTGGAGTGGCCGTGGCACAGCCTGGGCACGTGGCCAGAGAGGAAGAGCCTTGAGTGGCAAACGTGGCCAAGGGGGGAGGCTCCAGGGCAGGGAGGGCCCAGCCTCACACCTGGAACCTTCTGGAACCTGTCCAGTGCTCACAGTTCTTTGCCCCTCTTCGAGTAAGGGCTGGGGAGGTGGGGGGGGGGGGGTCAACAGCCTTTACTACTTAGACAGCAAAGGAGCCTCCACAAGCGACCCCCCCCCCCCCACCCTGGCACTCATGCTCTTATCACAAGGGAGAAAGGCAGGACCTGGGAACTCCAGGTCACAGCCGGGACCCTGCACCAGTCCTGCTGCCTAAGAGGTGGCACCACTTGCGGTGACAGGTGCCCTTTCAGAGATGACCCCTGAGGAGTGCGCAGGCCTGGTTCCAACTTGGAGCTTGGGGGTTTCTCTTTTGGGGTGGGGGGGAAAGGCACCCCCGGCAGTGCTCAGGGCTGACTCCTGGCTCTGTGCTCAGGGTTGCCAGGGCTCGAACCTGGGTCAGCAAAGTAAGCACCCTCCCTGCTGTGCCGGCTCTGCAGCCGGGACTCGGGCGGGCAGGCTTGACAGATTCTTGTCCCAGAATCTGAACAGCGGACAGAGGTGTCCAGCAGGGTCCCGGGAAATGCCCTCTGCTCGGTTGCCTGCCCCAGGGGCATTCACGGCCATGCGGGACCCTGGCCAGTCTCCCACACACGTGGGCGTCCGCTGTGGGGAATCCCATGGTGGGGATTCCCTGGCCGGGGCAGAGGACCAGTGGCCACCTCCTCCAAAGGCCCTGCCCAAGCTGCAAGAGAGGAACAAACGCCTCTGGCCGGAGGGACGAGAATGGGGCCAGGCACAGAGAGCCAGCCTGGAGCCAATGGGCCGGGCACCCCAGCACCCGGGAACAACTCCAGGAACATGAGACAAGGTGCCCGGGCCTGTCCCGCCCAGGGCATGAGCGCTTTCGGTCCGTCCGCATCACCCTGCCTCCGACTCTCTGCCATAATGGAGACCCCCACCCCGCCCCGCCTCTCCAAGTGACCCCCAAGCAGGGTGCAGAGTCACACACCACCCGGTGAGGGGGTCCTGCCTGGGTCCCCCTGCCCCTGTGAGGAGCAGCACACACACCATCTCAGCTCGGAAGTGGGTCACTAGGGGGCAGGCAGAAAGGGGACCCCAAGATTAACAGTTCCCATGTCCCTGGGCAGTGGCCACTTAAGGCCAACACAAGCCTTACGAAGGCTCGTACAGCCTCCGGGCAGTGGCCAACAGCCCCGTCTGGAATGCTGACTCGGGCCTGCAGCTTTCAAGGCTTGGGCCAGGGACGGTCCAACAGCAAGACACTTCCCGTGAGGACAAGAGGGGCCCGTGGCCACCAGGACCGCATCCACCTGCCGCCCCTAAGGGGAAACGGACCAAGCCCCAGCCTCAGGCGCAGTCCATCAATCTGGCCGCCCCCATTTTACACCCTACTGAGGCCAGGCCGGCCTGGCTAGACATCCGCGTCCAGGGCTCCCACCTCGCAGAAACAAGAAGTTTAGGGTGCAGGGGTGGAG